GGCCATGTCTCCCGCAGCCGCGAGCGAGCACGCTCTAAGAGGCAGCATCGCGCATTTAACGTACATTTCACGGACTCTTTTCTTCAAGTCCATGGAGGCCTCGGTGGCGCTCACGTCGGTCATCTTCCTCGCGGCTGCTGCCGACGCCGCTCTGCTGCCGCCGCCACTCGCCGCCTCGCTGCAAGCAAGACGGGCCTGCGTTCGCAGAGCATCGCCGGTCAAGGCGTCTTCAACGCCCGCCAGAGCTGCCTCCGACAGCAACGCAGATGGTGAGAGGCCTCCCACAAATCCGATGCCGGCATACTCGCCACTAAACAGCTCATCAAAAGCCTCAGACATGCGCACGACCCGCATCACCGAGTTGACGTGCGCCCCTCAGGCGATGGCCTCGCAGACTCACCGAGTTGACGTGCGCCCCTCAGGCGGCGGCGAGGCCGTCGCTCCCGGCGCTGCTGCGAGTGCCTCCGATAGCAGCGCCCTCGTCACTGCCGCCGACGCCGCTGCGGTCGGGAACCTGGTGGAGGACGACGAGTGGCTCGGCCTTGCGATGGAGATGGCCATCCTCGTCCGCGTCGCTGTTCGCGAGGAGGCGAAGAAGCAGATCCGCGGCTTCACCAGCAAGGACGACTACAAGATCGGCGACCTGTCCAAAGAGATTGACGCTCGCGTCAAGGCGGAGGTGGCGCGGCTGCGAGACAAGGACGAGTACGAGCTGGGCGACCTCTCCGTCGCCCTCGATCAGCTGACCAAGGAGCAGGTCTGCAAGCTCACCGGCAAGAGCGAGTACGCGGCGGGCGACCTATCAGTCGAGATCGACGGCCGCGTCAAGAGCGCCGTGGCAGACTTCTGCGGAAAGGAGGAGTACACTACGGGCGATCTCACGCGCGAGATAGACCGGCGCGCAAAGTCGGCCGTGGCGGACTTCACGGGGAAGGAGCAGTATACCTTCGGCGACATCAGCCGCGAGCTCGAGAGCCGCAGGGCGGCGTGGGTGCAGGAGTTCACGGGCAAGTCCGACTACCAGTTCGGCGACCTGACCAAGACCTTCGTCTCAAACTTCACCGGGAAGGGGGAGTACCAGTTTGGTGACATCACCAAGAGGGTGGGGCAGATGCTGTTTGGAAACAAGCAGGTGAAGAAGGAGAAGCAGTGAGGCCTGCGTGTGCTCTTGAGTCTTGTCTCTTTACGCGGTCTGCACCGCCGCATTCCTCGTCGACTACCTGGCGTGCTCCGCCCGCTCCACCTCGCCCCACAGCGAGGTGCATGGCCGCTTCGTCGCGCAAATTATGTGTGAGTGTTAGAGTTTTTGTGTTGCGTCCTGTGCCCGCAAGTTCTTATCAATAAAAAGGATATGCCGTCAGTGTCGTCCCCTCCTTAGGTTCAGGACGGTCCGCCTTCTTTGATCGAGTTTCCTGTGGAAATCTTTGCGCCGTCCGTGACATCCAACAAGTCGGACTCCGCGCCCAAGTCCGACCAAATGCCCAAGCCCCAAGTCCATGCGGTAGAGCGCACCCAGAGCTCACGCCGACCCGTTGCCCTTGCCCACAGGCATGCTCTTCTCCCTCGCCCTGTCGCTAGCTCTTCCGGCTCCAACTCCGACGCCGATGCCAATCCCCGCTTTGCAAAGCATCGAGCGCTTGCTCGCGGAGGCCCAAGGTGAGGTCCAGACAGCAGCTATGGAGGTGGTTGAGCTGAAGCAGCAAGTGCACGACCTCCAGGAGCAGCTTCGCGACTCCGCTTGCTCTCCATCTCCACCACCGCCCTCTCCGCCACTGCCATCTCCGCCACCGCCCAGCCCGCCACCACCATCACCGCCGCCACCATCGCCGACGCCCGCGCCCCCCCCTCCAGCGCCTCCCCCACCACTATCGCCGCCTCCCTCATCACCGGCGGTGTGTCCGTTTGTTGCCGGCTGCACTCGCTCAAGGCTCGAGGGAGGCTGCCACAGCAACGGTCCTCAATGCAGGCTGTGCGACGACCAACATGAGGAAGACAAGTGTTTCAACGACATTCCTCAAGGCATCATTCGTTATCCGGAATATGGGTTTCTCCAACAGTCGAGCTTCATCTTTTACAACTTTCATTGCGACCAACCTCGAACCTCCAATGGCGGACCGCTGCCCAAGGTCGCACCGTTCACCGCCGGCCAGATATATACGATCGTCATGCACAACATCGGCAGTGCCTGCAACTGGGAACGCCGTTTCGACTGCAACGACCGCGGCGATGAGAGCTGGGTCGTCGGAGACTACCAGTACGCGGAGAGGTGTTACAGTCATGGAGGGTGTTCTCTGTGGCTTGACTGGACCAGTGGCACCTTTAGCGCCACCACATCACTGAGGCTCTCGAACATGACCTTCGATGGGCACCCGGCGCATTTCCCGCCGTGGTTTAAGTTCTGGACGGGATATGTCGGGAGTTCTGGCGTGCTCACTGAGGTGAGGGCGAAGTGCTAAGCGGCCGTTGGAAGCGACCGTGGTGGTGCTATGCAGGAAAGCCGCAGCGCCGGCAAGACACGAAGAAGACCAACCCAAAGTGCCGCGCCAACCTGCGACCGCGCTCCGCGGCCGGATAGACCTACGTGCCCTGCTGTGCAATAGTGTACATAGACCCGGGCTTGCGTCCGGGGCAGTAGAGTAAGGGGTGAAGCCCCAGAGACCCCCGGTGCGATCGCGCGGACCCCTTGGAGCCCCCCCCCCCCCTGGTGCGTGCGCACTTTGTGGTTCGAAGAAGACACATTCACACGCACAATCACATGTCACATGTACATGTTGTTGTTGTGTGCACACAGCGGCGTAACCACCATGGTAACCACGTGAGATTTATTCTACGCCATTCGCGCGGGCCCGAATCCTTTATACTGGGGGCGCGGGCCCCGCCCGCGCCCGGCCAGGTTCGAGGTATGGATAAACCAGACACCACTATGTTATATCATAGGATATAACATACTGAGATACCAGGCTCTTCCCTGGCATATCAGCTATCAAGAAAACGTCTGACTTCTAGGAGGATGAGCTCTGTATTCTGCTTTTTCGCCACATCCCACAGAAAACATCCGGGCCATGGGAATATCGGTCCAGACGCTCTGGGTTCTGGTTTTTCGAGGTGTGAACGATCTCCCCGGAGGGGTCATTCCGGCGGAATGACCCCTCATTAACTCATCGGATTCCGAATGGGTCGAACGGGAGTACTAAGACAGCAGCATGTTCTGGGTGGGAGGAACCCTTGGGGGGAACGCGGCGGTCTGGTTTCTGGTTTCTGGTTTTTCGATATAGCAAGGGTTTTATGGAAATATCGCGCGATCTGGTTTCTGGTTTTTGCTCCGAAAGCGAGGTTGGCGACGCGCCGCGCTGCCACGCACTTTTGTGGCTCACGGGGTCCGCCAGGCTGCCGCGATCCCGAGCGGAAACGCCGTGGCAGCCAACATGGCTGCCTTGTGCATCGGACGCCGACCGGCGGGGACATGGGGCAGAGGTCCTCACAGCCCCCTGCCAAGGCAGAGAGAGGCAGACGTCCTCACACCAGCACATTGATATGATTCCCATTACCTCCTCCGAATCACGAGGCCAGGCTGAAACACGAATGACAAATCGCGGCAGCCAGGCCTACGCGAGATATCCACAGCACCGCAGAGAGTCAGTCACTTAAGAGTTAAGTGTGAGGACCTCTCGCACATGAGGACCTCTCGCCCCAGCCAGCGCTTGTGAGGACCTCTCTGTCTCGACGTCCCTCTGCTTGCTTGCTGGTGCTGCCGCGCTTGTCTCCGGGAGGGTGGCACTGTGAGGGTGGCACTGTGTGCACGTGCGAGCGCACGTAGTAAGATGGAGAGCGAGTGCGTCGATCAAAGCGAAAGCAGACGCCGGGCTGAGAAGGGGACGATGCAGGCTGAGGGAGGGTGTAGAGGATGTAGAGTGTAGAGCGCTGTAGAGCTGTAGAGATGGAGAGCGCTGTAGAGCTGTAGAGCTCTACATCCGCCGCGGGACGAGGCGGGTGCGTTGTAGAGCGATGTAGAGGCGCTCTACAACGTGAAATCTCTACAACAAACTCTACATCCGCATCAGCGGCGAACGCGGAGTTACGTGAGTCGTCCGAGAAGACCGCGGTGACTCGGAGCCAAACGCTGGCCGGAACGGGGCGTCCTTGAGCCGGCCGTTTGACGCCATGCAGATCTCGGCCTCAGCCGCCCAGAGGAGCGCTGGCGGTGGGAATTGGCTCGCGACAGCCTCCCAGCTCTTGGCCGGCGTGGGCCATGCGGTGGAGCAGAGCTTCTCGTAGGCCTCTTGCGCGGCGGAGACGCGGACACCGCGCTGGCGTTCGATCAGCATCGCAACCCGGCTCAGCTGAGGCCGCCGCTCGGCTAGGAGCACCAGCGCTCGGTGCCAGAGGTGAATGCCGCGCCTCACACCCTGACCGCCACGCTGAAGCTCACCCTCACGCGCCACGGCTGCCTCCGCCTCCCGCTGCGCGGCGAGCTGCGCCGCCAGCCGCGCCGCGCCGCTGTCGAACGAGGCCGCCGCAAGCGCTTCCCGTTCACGCCCAGCGCGCTCCACGAATGCGGTCGGCCCCTCGGCGACGGCCATGCCCGGTCGAGTTTTCCGTTACAATAGACCCTTCCCCCACCCCGACACTCGAGAGAGAAGTAAACTCTAGCGCACCGTTGCCTACCTGGATGGATACGACACTGCGACACCCACAGGGAGTCAAGGATCCGCATCAGCTCTCTCATCGTTCTAAAAGAAAGAAAACACCGCGAAACGAGGGATGGGAGGAGAACAGGAGGGTCCCCACCTGCACGGGCAGGATTTTGGAAGGACGATCAGGGGGACAGGTGGGGCTCTCCTGCTCCTGACAAGGGACACGACAGGCTCGCAGCGCGGTGCGCGGTGGACTCCCACATCCACTGGCGGTCTCATCTCAGTCTAGCGACCTGCCTCCAGCTTGTCGCTGTTGAGTGAATCGTGTGTGCGCGTTGGAAAATTCTTCTTACGCCCCGACCTCACCCAAGGGGGCCCTGGCGGCGCCGCTGCGCAGCATACTCTGCCGCAGCTCCCGCCCGCATGCCGACCCGTGGTGATTCGAGAGGCACGCTCCTACGCCGGACAACAACGGGTCTGCCCATCTTCGAGCCGCCTGGTGAGGCGGATGACCTCGAAGAACTCGGTAAAGCCGCGCCGCGAGCCGTACACTCTTCCGTGCACTGCCTCACCCGCGTGTGCCGCTCGCCTGCAGACCTTCCGAAGCTCCTCTTAGTCGGCAGCGCCTTCTACACCGGCCTGAACTGCTGCACCTACCCTCTCGCAGTCATAAAGACGAGGATGCAGGCGAGTGCGGTGAGCATGGGCTCGCTCGAGGCGGCCGGCGAGCTGTGGCGCATCTCTGGCATCCGAGGCTTCTACGCGGGCATCGGTCCTGTGCTGCTCGGTGCGCTGCCCGCTCGGGCGGGCTACATCACCGCGCTCGAGGGAACCAAGGCCTTCTGGCAGGCGCGTGCCGAAGCGGCAGGCGTGACGGGGCCGACGGCCGCCGCAGCGAGCAACGGCGCGGCCGGCTTCGGCGCGGTGCTAGCGAGCCAGACGATCTACACGCCCTGCGACGTGGTGACGCAGCGGGTGATGGTTGCGAGCGGGTCGGGCGGCGCTGCGGCGGCGGACGCCTCTGCAGCCCACGTGGTGCGAGACATCTGGAGCACCTCTGGCTGGTCTGGCTTTTACCGCGGGTTTGGCGTGACGCTGATCGCCTACCTGCCGGGCGGGTCGGTCTGGTGGGCGGCGTACGGCGGCGCGCGCTCCGCGGCGAGCGGGCAGAAGCTGATGCCCGATCTAGCCGAGCTTGCTCTCGCCGCGACGTGGGCATCACTGTGGACGGTGCGATCACAGAATGAAGCTAGTCTAGCGGGCTGTGGACGGTGCGAGAGGCGGTGGCGCGCACCTTGGCTGCGATGCGCTTCAGCGCTGCGGCCGCTGCGGGTAGGTTGCGGTGACGAGTCCGCTCGACGTGCTCAAGACGCGCGTGCAGCTCGCGCCGAGCAGGGTAGCGCCGCCCGTGCTCACCATTGGGAGGGAGCTGCTGCGGAGCGAGGGCTTTGCTGGGCTATACCGCGGCTTCCTCCCGCGCTGGAGCCAGGCCTCCATCTTCAGCGGCTCCGTCATCTCCCTGTACGAGCACCTCAAGCGCATCTGCAAGAAGTAGACGGCGGCACGTGCCCCCTGCTCTCGTCGACCCTCTCCCTCCACGTACCACGAGGCCCTGCACTGGTCCTGCTGTGTGGAGTGTGCGCAAAACATGGCGCAAAAACAGACGGAGCAGAATTGTGTGTGTAGTCTGTAGAGCCGTAGACTTAACGTCGTCACATCCTCACAAGTCACCCGCCGAAAAGTCTCCCACTCGCGCCCTCCCCAAACCTAATCCTCTCTCTATTTACATACATAAACCTGAGTGATGTGCGTGTGCCTCCCAGGCGCAGCCCTCATACAACTAACAAGAGCCGTGACCCCGACAGCGTGTCCAGCGGACACCGAACACACACACACCGTGTAAATAAATAAAACGGACACCTCTACTAGGAGATGGGTAAAAAGGAACAGGTCCCCGCCCTGCGGTCTTTGTGCAGGGTTCTTTGTGGGTGTGGTCGGCGACTAGCCGGGGTCGTCCTCCCGATGGACTAGCACTAGCCGTCTTCCACATGGTCCCTCGGGTCCCTGCTGCTCCTAATCTCTTCGTACATCCTCCTGCTGATCTGTGTGGTATGCACTGCGTACTATATTGTTTCTCTGGTACACAGAATCATGCACACATACATGCAAAATCAAGGCCAAGAGGCAAGCGTGAAGCGAGGAGCGAGGTGCAGGTTCGGGCTCGAGCGCGCGACACCGACATGGCGCGCGCCGCGGCGCCACCGCGCCCCCCTTTGCGGAGGGCGCTTTAGCAGTGGGCGCCGCCTAAATCTCGCGCGGTACACACGACCAACGACGCAGAGAAAAGCATCCATTGCCGCACAGTCATAGCTCCCCCAGTAGCCGCGCTAGCTTCAGCACGTCGGAATCGGCCATGAGTAGGTCTGCTTTCGTTGCGGGGCGGCCATGCTTCTCGCAAAAGGCAGCCCGCCACGCCTCGAGCTCGGCGGCCTTGTCAGCTTTGAAGCTGCTCGACGGCGGGCACTCCGGCTCGACGAGCTGCCGGGTAGATGCTGCACGCTCCGCGCCACCCTCGAGTTGACCGTCCAGTCGCGAGCCGCGGCCTCGCCCTGCCGGGAAGCGGGTGTCAAAGCAAACGGTACCCGCGCCTTCGTCGAAGGTCCATAGGCCAAGTAGCCCAGAGTCTCGTCCCCGTGCCGGGAGTGCACCCTGCCCCGCCTGTACCTCGCTAAGCAGAAGCGGCCGCGACCACAGCGCAGCCTGGTCGAAGCTTCCGTGGAAGCCGCCTCGGCTCGGCGATGCGCCAAGAAAGAGGTCGGTCTCGCCTCTTCCGGCGAGATCCTTGCCCCCTACCGAGGCGGAACCCGAGTCGACGAGGCAGCCGTCACGATACAGGGCAAAGGCCCCGCCGGCCGCGTCATAAGTTGCCGTCAGGCGCACCCAGCGGCCTGTCGGGATCGATCGCGCCGCCAGCTGGTTCTTTCCCAGCCCGCCGACGAAGGCGCACAAGTTGACTCCATTGCCATCGTCGCTCGGCTGGGCGTAGAGGCCAAACGACTGCTTGGTGCTGGCGTCGCCTTTACAGATAATCATGGAGGGCGGGCCTCCCGGACGGATCATTACGGGCATCACCCAGGCCTCCACGGTGAATCCTCCGGCGCCAATGGCGGCGCCAACGACGGGTGGCATCTTCACAAGCGCGTATTGGGACGGGTCTCCTGTCAGCTGTAAGCAGCCGTGCTGCACGAAATCGCCATTCTGGAGAGCGAGCGGCACCACAGCCCCAGCTGTACCCCTCGCCGTCCCACCGTTCGCGCTTGTAGGCGTAGCCTCGCTGAACAACAGGTGGCGGCCGCACACATAAGCTGCTACCGGCCGCCGTCCCGCACGCAGCGGCGGCGAGGCGGTGCGCAAGTGCCACTCGCGCCGGCTGACGTCGAGGAGGGCGACCTCCTCTGCCGCCACCTCCTGCTCCTCGTCTCTGCCCGCCCCGCTACAGCTCATTCCGCCGCACGCGAGGAGGTAGCGGCCGAGGACGCGCACGAGAGAGTGGCCGTACCGCGCAGTCGGAGGGTAGCCCTCCACCTCGGGCTGCTCCCACTCCTCGCTGGATGGGTCGAATCGCCAGATCTCCGACGACGCCCCGTCAGGAGTCCGGCCACCAAGCATCCAGAGGGCGCCGTCCGCCCCTTGCGCCATTGCCGCGTGCGAGCGGGCACTCGGCCCATGCGCGCATGCCACTTGGCGCCAGATGTGTGTGTCCACGTCGAATCTCCACAGCTCATTGCTTAGCCCACCGACACCTTCGCCTCCAAACAGCCACACCGCTTGCCTCGTGGCGCTCTGGTGCAGCTTCACTCCCGACACCTCCGCAAACGCGTCTACGGCCTGTGATGCGGCGCAAAGGTCGGAGCCCAAGAGAAGGGGCGCTGCTGTGACTGCGGCGCAAGCGCCCACCCGAGCCTCGGGCGCCGACTCGGTTGGAGCTGTCGTGAGCAATGGCGTGGGGTTTGCCGGCTGTGCCTCAAAGCCACCGTTGACTACAAGGCGGCACACGGCGACATGAGTCCTCTGCTCTCGCGTCCTTTGCTCTCGCGTCGCCACTCGCCCTGCAATCGCCCGCGGATCCAGTGCGTAGCCCCGCGCCGTGACTGCAAAGAGAAAGTACCCACCTTCCTCGCAGCTTATGACGTCGAGCGGCATCATCGCCGAGCCTCTGCTTGCGCCACCGCCGGAGGAGGCGGCTACAAGAGCCGGTGACCTGGGCCGAGTCACCGACCACGGGTTCGCCGACCACGGCCTGGTCGCCGGCCGCGCTGCGGAGAGAGGTCGCTCCAAGCCGAGATTGGGCGCGCTCTGAGGCCGTGCTTCACGCGTCGCGCGCAGGCGAAGGTCGCACAGCACACGGCCACGGAAGCGGTAGTCGCGCGGCGGCGCCAGCAGCCGCTCCCTCGGCTTTAGTGGCAAGCGCGGTGGAGTTTTCGCGCTTTCCGACTCGAAGAGGCATGCAGGTTGACAGAAGTGCAGCGAGGGCAGCGCGAGAGTTGCTCGCTGCGGTGCCATCTTGCCAGCCAAGATAATCTGCCCACCGGCAGCAGCCGCGGCGACAGCTGTGCCCTCGATGGGCCCCGAGGCAGTCTCGCCGCCAAGCGGGGCCCACCGCAACTCGGGCGGAGGCTGGGCGAAGGGCGACACGAGCGTGCAAGTGAAGGGCGACCCGCGGATGTGAGTGCGATCGAGCGTGACCTCGAGAGAGTAGACGGCAGCGACGGGAGCCGACCACGATAGCAAGTACCGGCCGTCGCCGAGATCAGTCGGACGTTGTCGCTCATCAAAACTTTCGCACCATCCGTCATACTGATTGCACGCAGGGCGTAGGGCCCGAATGCGGGTCTGGAAGACGGCGCCGCCCACGTGCAGCGGGTTGTCATTGCAGTCGCGTGCGGTGATGACAATCTCGCACGGCTCGCCGGCGACTCCGTCGTACAGACAAGGTCCGCTGGCGGTGCAGCTCCGTGCAGCGAGGCAGCCATCCATAACGCTGGGCCGGAAGGGCGAACCGGGCAGGGCTACGCCGTTGACGGTGACGTGCAGCGCGGCTGTGCGGCCTGGCTCGAGCCCATCGGCAAGGTATGAGACGGAGTATGAGCCATCGGTGTTGTCTGCCACCTGCCCGACGGTGGGGCCATGCTTCATACCCGTCACCCACGAAGTGATGTTGTCTCCACCCCACTCTAAACGCTCGCCGTTCGAGTCGTGAGCGTGCACGCGGAAGGACGAGACGCAGCCTGCACGGGCAACCCTGAGCCCGGGTCCCTTTGCGTTCGATCGCGCGCCATCGGCTTGGCGGCGCATATGTGTGTGAGGATGGGCGGGGCGCTGTAACCGTCAAATTGACGGTTTCGGAAGGAGGGAAGTGCTTTCCAAGTTTCTTCTTGGTCGGCGAACTCTCCTCATTCCAAAGCCGCTCCCAACTCCATTAACGCTTGGTTTTGCATGCAACGCACATAGGAGCCCTCCTCCTCCGGCGGCTTGCGCTTCAGCCTTCGCAACGAATGGCCCTTCTTCGGCCCACATCTCGCAACATGATGACCCTCTCGCCTCTGACCTGCCCCGCCGCCCCCCCGAGCCCCGTGCCCGTCCCGCTCCCGCGGTCCCGGCTCCCGGCTCCAGCTGGACGCGCCGTGCGCGTTTCCTGTAACGGCAAAAACGGGCCGTTTACGGCTTAGGAATGAATATGAGTATGAATATAAGAATAAAATTTGAATTTCGTCTTTATCGATGCACGATCTTGGAAACATACAGGAATGGACATCCTTTGAAGGAGAAGTTACACACGCTCGCCGACTGATCTAGTGCGCTTCCCCGCGCGTGAGGTGTGCACGTCAGTCTACACAAACACCACCACCACCGTCCCCGTACCGTGATAGCGAGAAAGGATTGGGCTTTGGGGATGAGAACGAACTTTGAAGGTGAGATCCAATCTGCACGTCACATCAGCGGAGGCCCTCGCGGCGGCGGCGGCGAAGACAGTGGCGGCGACGGCGGCGGAGGCGAGGGCTCTGGATTGAGTGGTGTCGACGGCCGCTCCGATAACCACATTGGCACTTTCCTCGCCATTTTCTTCGTTAGCGCTGATACGTGCACCGTCGGAGAAAACGGCGGCGGCAGCGGCCGTGGCAGAAATGGCGGGGGCGCCGGAGGCGCCGGCGCGAACGGCGGAGGGCTCGGCATGGGCGGGCAGGCGAAGTTCGCGTCTCGGCAACTGATCGGACACGAGTACACAAGGTCCTGTACCTCCTCTTTGGTGTCCAGGCCCCAGCCGCCAAGGATACAGTCGTGTCCGCGCCAGTCTCTGCACCTCCAGCCGGCGTAGTGGTAGTGCTCATCGTCGCGGCAGCGCATGTACCGCGGCAGCTCGTCCAGTTGGCGGCCGACGAAGAGGAGCGAACTCGGCAGCGCAGGGTGTAGGCGGTCGAAGAGGAGCGACATCAGGGCGCGGGAGGGACTCGGACTGCTTTCCTTGAGAGCGAGCTGTTCGAAGCGGCCCAAGCAAGTCGTCAGAAAAAATGCTTGGGGCAAGCCCGGTCCTGGGCGTGAGGTTACTGACCGCACTCCAAGTGCTCCAAGTGCAAGCCGTCAGAAAAAATTCTTCGGACGGCGAAGCGGAGAAAGCGACACCAAAGGCGAGGGAAACGACCACACCGGCCGTCGTATGACGCTCGGCAAGCGAGCAAGAGAGAGAGCGAATCGGGGAGAAAGAACCGGAGCCCCGGGAGGACGGAAGGTGGAGCTCCGCGGGACCGGGGACTAAGTAAGTAAGCAAGCGTCTGTGGTTGGGCGTGGTGTACAGTGTAATGTCCACTAGCTCCGAGCAGAGGGGGCGTCCTGCAGTTAAGGGGAAACCCGGTACGCGGGTCTCCAACCCTGTCCCTCGGAGAACCGTGTTTATTTTACGGCCCTTTCCCTGCGAACGCGCACCCCCCCTAGGGGTCAGGGCTCTCTAGCCCGTAGCCCGATGCCGATCATCCGGCCCGCTGGGTGCGCTTCTTAGCTCCCCGGCCCTGGATGTGAGGTTACTAACTGCACTCCAAGTGCTCCAAGCGCGCGCACAAGCCACAACCAGGTACAGCAGGAAGCACGGTATGTATGCGCGAGAGATCCCCTGTGCCCAGTGCTTAGCCCTCTCCGCGCCGCCATTCGCCCTCGCCCCCTCGCTTTTGCAAACCTGGAAACTCCAAAAACTGCAAAACCGTGGGGACCCCGGGGGGGACGCCCCCCCCCCCCCCCCAGCCCTACTCGAGTAGCTTGGGCTGTCCGGAGTCCGCGTTTTCTTTCTTTGTTTACACCAGAAAAATAATTCCTTTCTCTCATGTCTTTCTGCACATGTGCAGGCATAATGTGTGTGGTCATGCGCAACACCGGAAATTCCGGTGGGGATAGTACACAGAAATGTGACATTCATAGTGTGTTGGCCGCGGCCCGTCTCCGCCTCTAAGCGCAAGGACTCCGCCGCACCCTGCGGCGCATGCACCCCGCTCCGGTCGGTCGCGGGTCGGACGCGATACAGCTCGGACGAACGCACGGCTCGGCGAGCAATAGGCAAGCGCAAGCTCTTTGCCCGTTGTTTGCTTCAAACTTCGAGGCCCGAGTCGAAAAACTTGGATGCTTGTCTGTCGGAGCTCGGCTCTTGGCCGTGAGCGAATGCATTGTTCCGATAGTTCGTGCCGCTCAAGTCTGTGCGGCGGCGGCGGCCGCCGCCGCCGCAGCCGCCGCCCCCGTCCTTGCAGAGGGCGTATAGCAGAAGGAGATGGGCGAACCCAGCGACGAACTCCGCCACCACGCAGCAGCAACTACTTTCGCGGCGGTGTCCAATCAAGGCGGCCGGGGGGGGGGGGGGGGGGGCCCCAAGGGGAAGCGAAAAAGCCCCTTTTAGATTTGCCAGCCGAGCTTGTCGTATGTCCGACCTGTGAGGGACGGTCCGTCGTGCAAAGTTTGGAGTGGAAGGGGACCCGGAGTGTGGGTCGTACGAGGGGAGAGGGTGGGGGGGGGCGGGGCGGGGCGCCAGTCTTGCGCAAGGGTCGCCGACTGCCACCCCACGATGCCGAGCCAAGATAGGCCCGGCGCAGCGTAAAGGCACCAGAGCAGACCGGCGGCGAAGCGGCGGCGGACGTCGGCCTGTGTGAGCAGTTACGCGGCGGGTGTGGGTGCGCCGCGCGGGTCGCCGCGTAAGAGGGGCGTGCCGCAGACCGGCTGGGAGAGGCACGCGCAGCAGAGGGCGGCCACGAGCCCGACGACGGCGGTGGAGAGTTGCGCGATCGCATAATCGGTCTTGTTGTCTTCATCGACGAGGATTTCGGAGAGAGTGCCGTTGGGGCCGATCTCGGTGAGGCCGAACACCGGGTCCTGCACGAGGTTGAGAGCACCCACGCCGAGCAGGATAAAGTCGAGCAGGATGCAGAGGTGCCTTGAGCACGCCTTACGGCTGCCTGCGCGGCAGCAGCCGCACAGCGCGCCACACGTGCTCGCGCATGCGCGGCGGAGGCAGGACCCTTCCCTGCAGCACGAAGGGCAGCTACAGCGGCCACAGCGCCGCATGCCGAGCCTGCAAAGCGCCCACAGATGACACCAGACACGAGCTCGGTCTGTCCCCCCTCGGCTCTTCGGCCGTCGGCACGCCGTGAGGGTTTATTCACGGCCTCGCCCACACCACACAATACACACACCAGGCCACCGGCGCTGCTTGGGCGCTCTCCAAAGCGTATGTTGTAAACTGGATTAAAATACTCATACCTCTGCATGGTACGGGACCCCTCGACCGTCTCGCCCTCCCTCGCTGGTGTGCTTGTGGGGGGGGGGGGGGGTCATAACATAAACACGGTCAGGATCGAGGTGCACGCTGCTGAAGCAGTGTCGTCCCCCACCTATCATCTCACTGGGAGACGTCGGCGGTGAACCGGTGATGGCGGTGTGGATCGAGCCGAGCTACACCACGGTACAAGACTCAAGACCACAAACAAGAGGTAGAGGCGCGCTAGAGCGGCATCCGGGACAGGTCTGATGCACTACCTCACTCTGGGCCTGAGATCATCGAGACAGAAGCGTAGGATGTGTCGGATTTCGGGTTGTTTTCGTCGTTTGTTTGTACATACACGGTGGCGAGTCCAAACTCAGTTTCGAAACGCAGGCCCATACGGTGTCTAGACCCGGCCCGCCAAGTCCCAAGAAAGAATTTCCACCCGGGCCGCGCCCGGGCGCGGCGTCGGGCGTGTACGGTGTAGACTGTACCGCGTCAGTACTGGGCTGGGTTTTTAGGCATTGTGGGGTTGGCACTCCCATCGACCCTCATGACCTCCTACGGTCTCTGAGATGGACACCAGTGGGTGTGGGACCACAGCCAGGATACACTCGAAGGCTGGGTAAGAAGTAGAGGTCGATACTCGACGCGTCCCACATGGTCTGTGTGTCGCTGTCTGCACGCTGTCGACAGGACGTCGAGCGACACCGGTGGCAGTGCCACCCAGGAGTGGTCGGGCGGTCTCCCATTATGAGAGAGCCACCATGTGATCCGTATGATGATTCCTGACAACCGCCTCGCAGTCAATTTGTGACACAGTTCCCGCTCTGAGAGGAGCTGCGGGTCAGTTCGACAGCTGGAGCTGTGTCGCCGGCGTGCGGCGGCCTGCCTCCGGAGCGCGGAGGTGCCTCTGAGGTGGACATTTTTTGGTCACCGTGCGAGAGGAACGCGTTCGAATTTTCATTCACTCCGGAACTTCAACTTCGCACGCGCACCGGCCAGGGCTACAATAGTGCCAGTGAGGCGGAGGCGCGAGTTTCCCAATCTTCCTACTCCCCGTGTACCCAGCCACGTAGACCGCGTGTAGCGTGTAGTCCGTGTACCATACGCAAAAAAAAGACTCAGACTGTGTTATACGACCTACTGACTGACGCCAGGGCCCAGTGTGCCTCAAGTGTGGACTTGAAGTCAGAATGTGTGGGGTGTCGGACTTCGGTCGTTTATTTGTACATATACACGGTGGCGAGTCCAAACTCAGCCCATAGAGCATAGTGCCTAGACCGTAGACCCGGCCGCCGGCCGCGCGATAGCCGATACGGCGAGAGACACCGACCGAGAGAGAGAGGCGTGTGTCGCCTCCCACAAAATACAGACACAGAGTACGACGCCACGTGGCGTCAGTGGGCGAGGGGCGCCGAGATTTGGCTCCCGGTGGAGACCTGGACGGGCGGAGGCACGACGAGGAAGGAGGCCCAGTCCGAGGGCGTGTTCGGGAGCAGGCCCATCGTGTTCATCTTGTACAGCGCGCCGCTCATCGCGAGGAGGTTGAGGACGACAAAGGTGGCCTGGGGTGTGGGCAAGGCGGGCAAGGGTCGGCGCCCGAGAGGGGGGACCCGCCGCCCCAGCGCCTCTTCCTCCCTCCCACAGCCCCCACGCTCGCCAGGCTCGCACCTTGGCCATCAGCAGCGCGCCTCGCATGGTCGCGTCCGCCTTCGGGTCCGCGAAGGGCTTGAACTGCTTGTTGACGTTCAGCGCCGAGTTGATTGGGTTGTAGACTGCGACAGCACGCCGCCGGCACGTGAGGAGAGGGTGGGCGAGGCACAGCAGAGGTGGCGGTGGTGGAGGTGGTGGAGAAAGGGGTGGCGCACCCGCGTAGCCCGTCATCATGATGGAGAAGGGGTGCACCCCGCTCCCCGACATCCACAGCATGAAGGCCGTCATCATGAAGGACTTTGCCGGCGCCCATGCGGTCTCCTTTGCTTTCTGAGGCGGTGCGGGCGCCGCGGTGGAGCGGGGCGGTGGGCTCACGGCGGCGGCGCGCGGGAAGTTAGGCCGCGCGCCTTGAGCTTCAGCGCCGCCATGTCGAAGCTCCTCTTCTCGGTCAGCTTTGTGTCCTGCGGCGCACACAGGGCGAGGCTCACAGGCGGCGGCGCAGGAGCCGCGGGCGCCAGCGAGCTCGCACGTGCTCTTCCCGGTACGTCTCCGAGTACCCGGGCGGGTCGCAGAGGTCCTTGCCAGAGCAGTCCGCCAAGTCGACCGCCCACCGGCGCGGCATTTGACGAGAGCGGTGGCCAACAGCAGCCGAGAGCGTGTAGGCGCGGCGCTCGCAACAGCAGCCGAGAGAATAAGAATTTGGCGTGCCCACTGGCACTAACACAGGTACGCCCATCCCTCCCTTGGGTTGTCTGTTTTCTTTCTTTTAGGTACACCTAAGAAACCAGCTTGGCACTTCTCCATCCCTCCTTTTTTGTTTTAATTTATTTCGCTGGGAAGTACGCAAACATCCCAGGGCGAGGGCAGCTGAGGGTGGTGAGACGTGGGAGGGTTCAATGGGGGCGGGACCACCTGCCCAAGCTCCCGTAGTGAGGATGTTAAGGCTCCCCTCGAGGAGTAAGGAAAAAGAAACGCGGCGGTGCCCTTCTACATGCGGTGCGGCAGTCTGGGCAAAGCGAAATGAGGGGACAGGATCCCGAACGTGATACCGATTGCTAATACCCGTGCCCATAATTATAGGTCAGGGCGCTGGTGCTTCCCCGACGATGCCCCCCGACGCGCACCTCGATGCCGGCTCCGCACGAGCCCGGCTGTATGCCTACCGCCACCTGAATCGCGGCTTGGCGCCGCCCGCTGCTGTCTGGCAAGCAACCGGGGCGGTGGCCACCCCTAGCATGAGCGCCGCGGAGTGCTCCCCCGCCGCGCTCGCCGCGGCCGCCGCCTCCGCCGACGAGGCGCTGCTCGAGCGGCTGCGCGAGAGGCAGCGGCAGGTGCGAGTCGTCCCCGCCGGCCTGCCGCAGCCCGTCCAGGTGCAGCTGGCACTGGAGCGGCCGCTCGCGGGGCTGATCGCGATGCAGCGCCGGCTGCGCGCCGAGGTCCTCTCCCACGCCGACGGCTCCGCGCTCCTCGACGACGCCGACGCCGCTCTGCGCTTGGTGCGGCCGCGCCGGCCGAGGCGCGCGCACTGCAGCAAGGAGGGGGGGGGAGGGGCTCAGGTGGGGCTCGGCCGCCGATTGAGGTTCGGGAGTGACGCTTCAGGCAGCCCCGCGAGGCGCGCGAGGCGGAGCGGCTCGAGCGGAAGCGGCTCGCCGACGCCGAAGCTCGGAAGAGGCGGTCGCGGGACAACTTTTTTGCAAAGCTGCTGTACCACGCGGACGAGTTCAAAGCCTTCCACAGAGAGCTACGCGCCCCCGCGGGGCTGCGGGGGCGGGAGCGTGAGGCCAGCTCACCACCCCGCTGCTGTGGCCAGGCATCCTCGCCGACGAGATGGGGCTGGGCAAGACCATCCAGACGATCGCCCTGCTCGGCGAGACCTAGCCGAGACCTAGCCTAGACACAGCAGAGACACAGCAGAGACACAGCAGAGACACAGCAGAGACACAGCAGAGACACAGCAGAGACACAGCAGAGACACAGCAGAGACACAGCCGAGACACAGCCGAGACACAGCCGAGACACAGCAGAGACACAGCAGAGACACAGCCGAGACCCAGCCGCGCGGCCGGCACAGCGCGCGCGTGAGGCGTGAGCAGCGAGAGGCGTGAGCAGCGAGAGGTGTGAGCAGGCTACCTGATGGAGGTGAAGAAGCTGGCCGGCCCCTTCCTCGTCATCGTCCCTCTCGCCGTTCTCTCAAACTGGCAACTCGAGCTCGCGCGCTGGCTGCCGTCCGCAACGGCGTGCATCTACAAGGGCGCGCCCGAGGCGCGCGGCATATCTCCCCCTATCTCCCCATTTCCCCATATCTCCCCATATCTCCCCATATCTCGCGCCCGAGGTGCGGCGCGACCTCTTCGAGAAGGAGATGGCCGAAGGCAGGCTGCTCGAGGACGGGTCGCCCCCCTTCAACGTGGCCGTGACGACGTGCGTCCTCTTCCTAGACACTTCCTAGACACTTCCTAGACACCTCCTTCAACGTGGCCGTGACGACGTGCGTCCTCTTCCTAGACACTTCCTAGACACTTCCTAGACACCTCCTTCAACGTGGCCGTGACGACGTGCGTCCTCTTCCTAGACACTTCCTAGACACTTCCTAGACACCTCCTAGACACTTCCTTCAACGTGGCCGTGACGACGTGCGCGCTACACACGCGGCGGGGCCGGAGGGGGGGGGGGGGCAGGCGCGGGCTCACGGCGCGCGCCTGCCACTGCAGGTACGAGCTCATCATGAAGGACAAGCAGCGGCTCAAGAGGTTCGCCTACCAGTACATCATCATCGACGAGGGGCACCGCATGAAGAACGCCGCCTCCAAGCTCTCCGCCACGCTCATGCAGTACGAGAGCGCGCACCGCGTCCTCCTCACCGGCACGCCCCTCCAAAACAACCTGCACGAGCTCTGGGCGCTGCTCAACTTTTTGCTGCCCAAGATCTTCGCCTCGGCCGACTCGTTCGAGACGTGGTTCTCGGCGCCGCTCGCCGAGCGCGCGGGCGGCGCGTCGGCGCAGGAGGAGATGGCGATGAACGAGGAGGAGTCACTGCTCGTCATCAACCGGCTGCACCAGGTATGGGGAGATATGGGGAGATATGGGGAGGAGTCACTGCTCGTCATCAACCGGCTGCACCAGGTATGGGGAGATATGGGGAGATATGGGGAGGAGTCACTGCTCGTCATCAACCGGCTGCACCAGGTATGGGGAGATATGGGGAGATATGGGGAGGAGTCACTGCTCGTCATCAACCGGCTGCACCAGGTATGGGGAGATATGGGGAGATATGGGGAGGAGTCACTGCTCGTCATCAACCGGCTGCACCAGGCTCTCCCTCGGCTCTCCCTCGGCTCTCCCTCGGCTCTCCTTAAGCCTCTCCCTCGGCCGTACCTCGGCCATACCTCGGCCATACCTCGGCCATACCTCGGCCGTGCCTCGGCCGTGCCTCGGCCATACCTCGGCCATACCTAGGCCGTGCCTCGGCCGTACCTAGGCCGTACCTCGGCCGTGCCTCGGCCATGCCGCGGCCATACCTCGGCCATACCTCGGCCATACCTCGGCCATACCTCGGCCATACCTAGGCCGTGCCTCGGCCGTACCTCGGCCATACCTAGGCCGTGCCTCGGCCGTACCTCGGCCGTACCTCGGCCATACCTCGCTGCCCCGCCCGAGGTGCTGCGCCCCTTTCTGCTGCGGCGGCTCAAGTCGGACGTCGAGGCGCAGCTGCCCGACAAGGCGGAGTACGTGGTCAAGTGCGAGCTGTCGCCGATGCAGAAGCTCATGTACCGCCAGATCCAGGACCAGGGCCTCTGCTCGGTCGGCGCGGCCGGGCAGCTCAAGGTGTCCGGACTCAACAACGTCGAGATGCAGCTGCGCAAGGCCGCCAGCCGCCTCCTCCCTTCCGCCCCCTCCCTCCCCGCCCCCGCCGCCTCACCTCCCTCCCCGCCCTCCCCACCCCCCCCCTAGCTCGCCTCCCCTCGCCGCGGCGCAGGTCTGCAACCACCCATACCTCTTCTTCTCCCCCGAGCAGCTCGACCAGCTCGGCGACGACGCGAACCTGCTCTGGCGCAGCTCGGGCAAGTTCGAGCTCCTCGACCGCATCCTGCCAAAGCTGCAGGCGCTCGGCCACCGCGGGAGGGGCGTACGACGTTCGGAGGAGTCATCACTCAGTCACGAACAGGCGCTCGGCCACCGCGTGCTCATCTTCTCGCAGATGGTGCAGCTGATGGACCTGCTCGAGCTCTGCTTCATATTATATTATATCATATTATATTCTATTATAGGTGCAGCTGATGGACCTGCTCGAGCTCCACTTCATATTAGATTATATTATATTCTATTATATTATAGGTGCAGCTGATGGACCTGCTCGAGCTCTAATTAAACTGGGGCCACAACAAGCACCTCGGCCTGGAGGGGGCCGGGACGCCGCAAAGACCCCCCCCCCCCCCCTGCCTTGCGCGTGGCGCAGGTGCAGCACGAGGAGCTGCCCGAGTGGCTCCGCCAGGCGGAGACGCTGCGCAAGGAGGCGGAGGAGGAGGCGGCGAGGGGAGGGGGCGAGGACAAAGAGCTGCTTCTCGACGGCCCGCGCGTCAAGGCGACCCCTCCCGAGATTACCCGAGATTGCCCGAGATTACCCGAGATTGCCCGAGATTACCCGAGACTGCCCGAGACTGCCCGAGATTACCCGAGACTACCCGAGACTGCCCGAGACTGCCCGGGATTACCCGAGACTACCCGAGATCGCCCGAGATCGCCCGAGATCGCCCGAGATTGCCCGAGACTGCCCGAGATTACCCGAGACTACCCGAGAGTACCCGAGACTGCCCGAGATTACCCGAGACTACCCGAGAGTACCCGAGACTGCCCGAGACTACCCGAGACTACCCGAGACTGCCCGAGACTACCCGAGACTACCCGAGACTGCCCGAGAGGGCGTCACCCTCCCTCCCCTCGAGGGGGTTGGCAGGCACCCTCTCTCACGCCCGTCCACACACGCGCACCCCCTGACCCCCTCGCCGCCGGCCGTGTGCGCAGGAGCGAGTGTCGTACGTCGGCCAGACGGACCGCGAGTTCACTCGCGAGCTGCTCGCCGAGGCGCGCGAGGAGGACGAGGCGGCGGGGCGGCGGCGGAAGCGCAAGCCCGCAGACGCGCCGGCCGCCGAGGGGGGCGGCGGTGCGGAGGGGGGCGGCAGCAAGGGCAAGCGAGCCAAGCGGCCGAGCGAGGAGGGGGGCGGCAGCCGCGAGGGGGGGAGGGAGAGGGACCAGCCCCTCGCGCGGCGGGCCGGGCTGCCCCCGGCGGACGCGGCGACGACGGAGCGGCTGAAGAAGCTGCTCACGGCCGTCTCCAAGACGCTGCGCGGCGGGCGCAAGGTCGCGGAGCTGTTCCTGCTGCTGCCGACCGAGGAGGAGGCGCCGGGCTACTACGGCCTCATCAAGCGGCCGGTGAGCAGCAGCTGGATGAAGGGGAGTGCTAACCCTAACCCTAGCGCTAACCCTGACCCTAACCCTGACCGTAGGTGAGCATCAGCTCAATGAAGGAGTACGTGCGCGCCGGCGCGACGCTCCAGGCTCGCCTCGCCTCGCCCTGCCTTCCTTCCCCCCCTCGTCGCCCGGCCACGGCACGCGAGACGGCGGCCCGTCCCGCGCGCAGGAGCTCGACGAGGCGTTCGCCACTATGGTTGCCAACGCGAAGCGCTACAACGACGAGGGGTCGCAGGTCGCCGCCGACGCGGACGTGCTTGGCACCGCCTACGCCGACGGACGCGCCAGGCTCTTTGCGGATGCGGCAAAGCTGGAGCCGCTCCCGAGAGGAGGGGGGCGCTGAGGCGGGGGCGCGCGGCCGTGGGCGTTCGATCTCTACGTTTCGCGTCTCGGCTGCGACTCTCCAGGGGCGCGCCGCGGACAGGCACGCTTGTGTACAGCAGCAGAGAGAAAGCAGAGGACTGTAGGCAGAGCGGAGGGGAAGAATGTTGGTCAGTATTTTGTTTACTAGATCTATCTCCTTGCGATTCTTCAGTTTCTGGGCGCTTGAGTCTCTCCACACAAACCGCAACCGCATGTGCAGCCGCGGCGCCCCCCGCCCCGGGTGCGAGCCCGTGCGGCGCGCGCGATCTCTCTCGAGACGGGAGATGCGCGTCTCGCGGACAGATGGGAGATCTGATCGCATCGTTCTCGAACGTCGAGGACGAACTCGAGAGGTACGGCTTTGCCCCTGCTAGCACGAGAAGGCGTTCATCGCCAACTTGAGGGCGTCCACCTTGTCGTCCGTGCAGTTACTTGCGGCGCTTGGCGCGTGGCACGTCGTTGGTGTCGCCGCTCGCCGGGCAGCACGCCCGTGATCAGGCGCTTCTTGCTGGGCATGAATGTCGCGACCGCCGATTCAGGGTCAGGCTTCATCTGCAGCTCAAGTGCTTCCTTGATCAGCTCATCCACTACCTCGTTGCGCTCCTGCATAGCCTTGAGTTGGCGATGAATGGAGGGGGGCAGCATAATACATTGCGCTCCGGCGGAGGGGGGCAGCAACGAGACGAGCGGGAAGCGCACGAGCGGCATTACGCGGCTGGCCGTTTCGTCCGTGTGGCCTGGGAGCGACAAATAGCCCACGGCGTGCTCGAGGACTGCGGTCTCGTTCTCGACGACAAGGTTGCTTGCTCGAGCACCATCGAGTGTGTCGCGGACGTCACGAGCCTGTTCGAGCTCGACGCTGCCGGTCACCGTGCCGCAGACGGTGATCTTGCCCTCCGTGGCAACGCGCATGGCGGCAAGGCCTCTTGCGTGCCCGCCCTTGTCACGCCGAAGACCAACCGACGTCGGACCGCGGTGAGACCCCGCCGCCCTCCGCGCCCGCCCGCGCCCGCAGCGTGAACACATACGCGCGTCCCTCATCGCACGGAAACATACGCGCCAGCCGCGCAGAAGCCCCACATGCAGCGCGCATTGGCATGCTCGCGCCCTGGGCCGCCGACGACCCGGTCGGGCGGGTTGCGCGGCCGCCGCACACCACCAGGCAGGCGCACAACCACCCGCAGCGCGCCGCAGCCCACCGCGCAGCCCTGCCAACCAGGCCTGCGCCTCCCAGCTGCACAAACAGGGCGCACAGCAGAGTACAGCACACAGCACACACCGGCGGCGCGCGCGCAGCACACGCAGACGCACGCGCGACCCCAACACGCACTCTCGTGCACAGCACGCGCGCGTCGCACGCCAGCGCAGCGCCACACACAGAGCACACTTCCCATCAGCAGCAGCAGGCCTGCCACAATCCACACCTCACACACGCGCGCGCACACTCCCCACTGCCGGCGCACGCATTGGGCGTCGCCGAGAGGAACCAACTGGTCTGAAGCTGACTCCTCAAGGCACCACGAGATGCCTGAGGGAGCGCTTGGCAGGCGCTCCCTCAGGCATCTTGACTCAAGTACAAGTTAGCTCCCCCCAGGCATCAAGCTGGCCCTCCAGACATCAAGCTGGCTCCCTCCAGGCACCAATCCGAACCCCTCCAGGCATCAAGCTGACCCCAGGCATGAGCTGGCTGCATCTCGCGATATCTCGCTGCACCTCGCCAAATCTCGCCTCATACCGTCTAATCTCGCCTCATCCCGCCTCATCTCGCCTCATCCGTCCCCTCATCTCGCCTCATCTCGCCTCATCTCGCCCCATCTCGCCTCATCTCGCCTCATCCTCCTCACCTAGGCTACTCGACCGCGGTGGCCGAGATCGACCCGAGATTGACCCGAGATCGACCCGAGATCGACCCGAGATCGACCCAACGAAGCCCGGGGGGAGATTGACTCAACAAGGCCCCAAAGCCCCCTCTCTGGGGGACCCCTCCCCCCCCACCCCGAGTGTCCGTTTCGCGAGTCACCGATGGGGAGCGGGGGGGGGGGGGGTGCCAAAAACCAACAGGGGAGGCTGGGGAGGGGGGGGGTCCCCTCTGAAAACAGCCCACCGCGGAGGGGTTTTGTCCCACAGGGTTTTACCCTCCGCGTGAGGATCGGCGCGGCGAGGGGGCAGGTTCGAATTCGCCGCGCAACATTTCACCCCCACGGGACCCCGCCATCCCCCCCTCATGGTCCCACCACCTAGCACCCCAATCTTAGGCTTCGCACCCTCTCCTTGCGTGGTGTCCCCCGCTATGTGTCGCCGTCTTCGGGGCACGCAATCCTGTGTAGTCAGGGCAAGTGGGGGCGGGGGGCAGTCCCTTTGACGTATGTATCTCTGGGTTCTGTCCCTAGTCTCGGAGGGGGGCTTGAAGGTCAGAATATTTTATTTTTCCGGCTCCGCCCGGAGACGGGTCCGCTTGAGTGGTGATTAAGGTCAGGCAGCTGGTGGGTAGAGTAAAACTTCTAGCTCCACACACACAAAAGGTGGTGTGTGGGGCAAGGCCCCCAACGCCCAAGCGCCCGCGCCGCTGTACTGCCTATATCTACAGCAGTATATCTCGTAGGGCTTGCCCTGGCCTTGCCCACTTACGCCTCTTAGCTCTCCCCCCTGGCGCGCGCGGGGGATGTGCTCGCTCTGGCCTCTGCCTGGCCGCTTTTTTGCGGTCTTTGTACACGGCATACCAAAGAGAGAGGGCCGAGGCGTCGCTCGAGACCGGGAGGGTGTGTAAGCCGCTGCCGCGCCCTCTTCGACGGCCGACGGCGGCGGGCGGCGCAAGCGCTGCGCTCTTCAGCATGCGTTCGCCTCTTCCCACTCCCGGATCTGCCGGCGCAGCGTGTGGTTGGGGGCTAGGAAGCTTTGCACGAGCGCCTCGCCCGTCATCGGGCTCGTCGACTTGGTCGCGAGCCAGCGCTCGATCGCCGACCGCTCGTACGAATGCCCGTCCGCCGCCATCACCGGGTCGCTCATGAGCTCGGTCGTGATCGGGCAGATGAAGTCGGCCGGCGGCTCCTCCTCCCTCGGAGCCGGCGCCTCTGCAGCCGAGGACGGCCCTTGCGCCTCCACCGCCCGCCGCCCCTCCTCCAGCCTCGCGCTCTCCTCGAGCGCCGCCGCCAGCTTCGCCGCAAGCTCCGCCGCCACCGCCTCCCCCGCCGCCTCCTCCGCCGGCGCCTCGGTCTCTTGCGACGGCCCAGCGCCGCCCCCGCCGCCCTGCTTCTTCTGCAGGAAGCACGAGGGCAGCTCGGACAGCGGGGGGTTGCGGTCGCTGCTGCTGCTACTTCTGTCGCTGCTCCAGTGCGGTGCAAGCACCAAAGTCGACCTGCGCTTTCCCGGCGGTGCAAGCTCCACGAACGACAAGCGCCCCTCCGACGGCAGGGCCACGCCTTGCTGCTGGCCCGTCGGCCCTCTCCTTTGCCGCACGGATAACCGCCCTTTGCTGACCTGCTCCGCACCTGCCAATCTGGTCCGCAGCTCTGGCTTGCGCCGAAACGGCGGCTTGCGAATGCTCCAGTGGAAGGTGTAGTCGAGGCTGTCGCGAGGGCGGCAGCAGAGGACGGCGGCGAGGTGGGCTCGCAAGATGCGGCTGAAGGGGAAGTAGAAGAGGGCCAAGATAGGGAAGACCAAGAAGATGATCCGGTCACGTGGATTCTCGTCTGTCATCAGCTTGTCGGCGTCCCTCACCCAACAGCCCTTTTGCTCCTCATCATACTCCTCGAGCTTCTTGCGCAGGGAGAGGTACATGCCGCACACCTCCTCGCGATCAGCCCGGCCGATGAAGCGCGTCGACTCGGCCTCGAAGAGCGCCTCCATTTGCCGCACGCTTGGCAGCCGCCCACGCGCCACCGGCACACGGCCGACGCCGAGCTCGTACGCGTGCCCGCCCCCTTCCGTCATCAGCAGCGCGCACGCCGTCTCAGACGTGCACCATCCCGAACGGCATTTGGCACCGGCGTAAGGGATCAGGTCGAGGCGGTCAGCTGGTGGCGCGCCGTCGTAGATCTCATTCAGCTCGCGCTCCAAATGGAGCGGGATCCGCCGGTGCTGCAGAACGAGGACGCGCGGGCTGGCGTAGGCGTTGCTCATCACGCCGAACCCCTCCTCGAACAGATCCGACTCCGCGGTGGTACGTTTCGCGCCCGTTATCGGGTCGTGCTGCGGTACCGCGGCAAAGTCCCACATCAGGGCGGGCCGATCCTCTACGTGGCGGCCCTCCCGGTAATACGAGAGGACCTCGTCAAGGTGGAAGCGGCTGCCGTCTGGCTGGTCGCCGCCGCCCTTGGACGAATTGAAGGGGCCCTGCCACTTGTAGGAGAGCGCAGCGACCTTCTCTTCGGCCAGCAGGCGGGCCGCGTCGGCCGGGGCCCAAAACGCCTCTTCCGGCAGGTCCTGCTGCCGCAGTAGCACCCAGTCCGTTGGGCGCTCCAACAGCCAGGCGACGCGCAGCAGCCGGAGGGAGCCGTCGGCGAGGCGCTGGGGTAGGTCGGCCTCGATGGCGGCGATGCGAGCGCGCAGTCTCTTGCGAAGGTGGAGGTGGTTCAGAGGTGGGGGGATGAAGAGAAATATGCTCGAGACAATGAGGACTGTCGGGTCGTAGTCGCACTGCTCCGGAACAAGCCACGAGAAGCCCAGCGGGGAGGCGACGAGGATGGCGAAGCTGCCGAGGGCAAGAGTGAGCAGATAGAGCGCGAGGAAGCGCTTGGGCTGCGATGCCGTGGGCAAGAGTAAGGCCAAAAGTCCAAGGACGGCGGCCATAAAAGTGGCGACCAAGCCAAAAGGGACCCACTTCTCCGCTGCATCGCAATCGGCCGGTGGCAGCGGCGGGGGCAGCTCGGGGGGCGGCGGCAGCGGGGCGCGCCCCGGTGGCCACGGCGGCGGTGCGGGCGGTGCGGGCGGTGCGGGCGGAGCGGGCGGAGCGGACGGGGCGAGAACGGCCAGTGTCAGATC